ATCAGTCTCATTTCTTATTGTTCTCATAACTAATTTGTTTTGGATTTTATGTCTAGTTAATCCTAGTTTGATAAGTTTATTACGAAATGTTAGCATTTTGGACACCTAACAAGCTTAATACCTAAAGCCACGTTTCCTTTTAGCAATGCTTTAACAGTTCAGTGCCTACTTCAAATGAATCGTTGTGATCTTGCTGGCAAGGCTGTTCGACGTATGCAAACTGCGGATGAAGATTCTCTAGCAGCACAACTTGCCGCAGCTTTATACTACGTGAAAAAAGTATGTTCCTGATAGTGTTGCTCAAAAAAAACATATGGACCCCACCATTTTACTTCGCTTTAAAAATGATATTCACTTTTTTCAGGGCGGTGATCAGCTGCAAGAAGCCGTTCACATATATGAAGAACTTAAAGAAAAACATGGACCTTCAACTTTACTGTTAAATGGTCAAGCTGCAGCTTTGATGGGTATGAATAATTGGGTTGAAGCCGAACCAATCCTTCAGGAAGCTATTGATATGGTTAGTTTATTACTTATTTGTATTTCGGTGTCCAAAAATCATCTCTGAAAAGACAAGGTCAATAAACGAAAATATCTTCCACTTGCCCGTTTTTTGAAATGTACAACAGTTTACAGGTTTTATCGTAAATTCTCAACGCCTCTATTTTAGGAAAATATAGTTGTTTATCAATATTTATTACCTTTAAATGGTCGGAGTGATATTTTAAAAATTTAAGATTTCATTCAATAAGTAGTTTGATTCCGTATTGTTAAAGTACAGGGTTTTACTCATATGACGGTTATTAACTATAGGCACAATCATTACCTATATGCTACCTGGAGTCCTCTGCATCTGAAATCTCGACTCAGATTAGTCACACCGCGATTAGCTACAGCTGGCGTGGCTGTGTACAGGACTTCCGCTTCTGTTGCCGTGCTTATCTGAACTCTGGTCATGTCCTTGTTAGCTCTAATCCTATCTTACGTTTCAGTGGCCAACAAATTCATCGTCTTAAACGGGTAGATGTCAGCAAATTGGCTTCAGCTTCTGCTGTGACCAAATACCTAACCAAGCTATGTTCAGGGCTAGTTATCATCCCACGGAAAAGTATAGATGAGCATTGGTTGCAATTATATGACGCCATAAAAGTGGCGAGTGAAGTCGCTTGCGGTTTCACGAAACATCCCGCTTATAAGCATTAGGTTTCTTCAGGCTTCTTACAACTCAATAAAGCCCGTCGGTCTACTCAGAGTGACCGGGTGTTTGACCATAAGCGAGGGTTGTTACGCAACAGAACTGTGCAAAGCATTTGTAAGGACTGAGAAGCTTGGTGGTCGGAGCGTTCAAACGAATTGGAAAGATTAGCTGCTTGTATTAACCGCCAGAAGTTCTTTCAACTCATCCTCGTCACTGGCAGCAAGAAGTTTGATGTGAGTGAAAAAGCCTGTGAAGCTGATAGGATTTCAGTCATTAACATCTATAGACATGAGAGCAAAACTGCTCTTATTATTTCACGCCTATGGACTAATTTCTGTTCTTTGTTGCTCTTTTTTATTTTACTCACCTTCCACCCCCTATCTCTTTACAACCTCATTGTTATTATGTGACGTATATGTATTTAATGCTCCCTTTTTCCAATGGTTTTGTATTCAAATAAATAAATAAAAGTATGATATACTGAACAGCTTTATTATTGAGATGGCTGAGACACGTGTTACGTATGCCCAACCACCGACTGCCCCGACGTGCAATGTCTTATGGTGTAGGAGAAGATTGGAAGAAAGCTAGGGGCGGCCTGACCAAAACGTGGCACAAATCCATGAAGTCATTGACAAGTGAACTGAGCCATGTTGGTAGGTGTAGACTACCTGGTTGGGATGAGCGAAATGATAGCAACCGATGGTTAGAGACCTTGAATGACATGAGTCAAAATCGTTTGCAATGACTTAGGTGCATCCACTCTTTGTGTTCTACCAAATTCTAATCTTCTGAATTCCTCATGTCTCTATCTTTTTTTCTCTTTCCAAATTTATTTCACTGGATTATACTTCTCGAATAACATTTTAAAACCCTAATCTTTCCGATTACTGCTTGTACTCTTACTACTTCTACCACTATGGGATTTGAATCGACAACTTCATCTCTGTGCTAATGTGGTATGGCAACTCGAACTGATGTACGTACGTACGAAGTTCTACGTTTTGATTGACTGACTGTACAAGATCGTATTTGTCTGTTATTGTGAATTTTATTTTGGGTACTGTGGTGCAATTTTTTTTACCTCACTTAGTATCTCTGTTAGTACTAGTTATGATTTTTGATCTTTATAAAAAAGTGTATTAGTAGCTTAACAATATGCAGATTAATTTTCCTAAGAGAATCTTATTCATATATTGTATATGTATATTTGTTACATTTTCTAGGATGGTAATAATCCTGATACCATTGTAAATATGATCGTGGTTTATCATCATTTAGGAAAACCGACTGAGGTAAGGATGCTTAATTTTGGAAAAATCTTCGATTATCCATTGGTTCATTTCTAATAAATCTTTATCACTTTGTTTTTTTCAAAACAGACTATCAACAGATTGATATCACAACTACGAGATTGTTGTAAGGATCATCCATTTCTCTTAGATTATGCAGAGAAGGTAAGAAAACTGTTCACTTCAAAAGATTTAATTAATTATATTTTTACTTTATAGGATGATGAATTTACACGTTGCGCAAAACATTACGCTCCAAGTGTACCAGGATAATGTGTTTTTATTCTGTCTGTTCTTTTATTTTGTATCAGTTTTCTATGATCATAATAACTTGTATCTGTTTTCTTACTCTTTTTGTTTGTCATTTGGTCTAAAATAAAATGGTACTGATTATCTGATTCTTGTCTTATTCATTCTTTGATTTGGTCTTGGATATTTTGTCCTAAGATGCTATTTTTAAAAGTTTCTAATATGAAGTCATATGAATTACTTCATTACCACAAGAACTATTGTTATATCTGAAGCGTTTCGAATTAACTAGTTAGCGAACGGAACAAAGACTTGACCAGAGATCGATAAGCTAGTTATTCTGACGCGTCCCAGACCCAGCTAACGAGAGTAAGAAGTCCAAGTTGGAAGCGGGGAAAATATATACCGTAGCAGACAGAAGCAAAGCAATCGTAAGGGGAAAAATCAAACGTATATATATACAGCAATAAATTGGCATTGGGCAGCACCACAAAATAGCACTCAAAGATACAACGGGCCAATAGCGTTTAAGATATTTTACAAGTGGGAAATACGAATCAAAGATGAAAAAAGCGCTTTTGGCACGAAAACGAAAAAATCCAAATTTTCAAAATAAAATTACAAAAATAGGCCATTTACCAAGTAAGTTCTGGGGATTTAACATCCCCAACAACTGTCAAGGTAAAAATTTAATTTTAATGGTTGAAATCATTAGTCAATTGAAGCTAGACCATCATGGAAAACCTGGAAATATTTTTTACTAGTTTGTTCAATATGACTTTGTGGTCAATGTTATCGGATTTGAGTGTGCTGGCTAAAATAAATGAACTTTAAGGTTTCAAATTGTTTGGGAAAATCGTAGTAAGGTCGAAATCTACCGTGATAATGATGTAAGAAAGCTTCAGAGTAAGGTTTCGTTGTCAGTAATACCACATTTCATCAACCAAGTTTTATGCGTTATAGGCAATATACCAACACGATATAAGGGAAATGATTAGAATTCAGTTCATTTAGGTTCGCTGTTTGTGTTATGTTTTATCAGAATACGAAACGAGATTTAAAAGTTGACGTTTTCCTGACTAATCGTATTCTCACTTTGATAACTTCTAAATCTCAGTACAGCGAAATATTATCGAACTTTTTGCGTACCGAAAAAATGCAGTAACATATAGAATGAAGTTTGTTGATAATAAAATTGATAGTGATAACGTATAAATCGTTTGTATTTTTTTATCGTCGCGAGTACAATGACTTACTGGAAGTGAATGAAAATAATCCAAAGACGGAATAAGATAATTGTAGAGTTCTAGAGCGTGATATTGATATGATCTGATCGGTATATAGATCCATTATGCTTGATTCTAAGAATTATTTTAAATTGTGAATAATAATCAGATGGGGTGCTTTAAATTTCCATTTTATACTTAAATACATTTTTCAATTAAATTCCATTTCAGATTACTGATGAATATATGTTGATTATCTAATTCTTCTAAGTTGGCTTTTCTGATAATTTTTTCCTCAGTTTTGTGTGTTTTACTAGGATTTAGCGGTAATGAATATCATAGTAATAGGTTTTTTCTCATTAAATCTAAACGTGATCTGAATTTCCAAAATTGTGACCCACATTGTATTGAATAGTGCCATTTTCATATACATGCAACAACAAAGTTAGAGTCAGCGACAACTAATCTATAATGATAGGACAAACTATCATATATGAGTGAAGAACTTTGGATAGCTGACATTTATCTGGAACTTGTTCCGACATTGTTGCCCAAAACGACCACATAGCTCAGAGAATGAAACTTCACCAAGAAGTGCCATCTTCATCCTTATCTACGACATCTTGCTTGTTATCACATCTATTGTTCAGAAGCTAGTTGTGCAACACTATTTGGCAAATCTAGATGGAATCCGTGTCCGAAAATCTATATGGTCATGACTCAAGAGTTTATGCTATTGAGTTACAACTCGATACATTGATTCCTAAATAGTGTACTCATATCATTTATACCATATTTGAATTTAATAGGTGATGTGAACAGAGAAACAAGAGGCCTTGACAAAGTACGGAAGCTATTTTTGGGGATGTTATTTCATTTAATTCAAAGCTTGCAAAACATTAACATTTACTTTTGTCCGTAGTCTATTTTACAGATCATAAGCTTTCGTTTGATATATGATTCTCTGCCACAGCCTTTTCTGTTCCAAAGCTATTGTAATTTAACAGTATTCTTTTCTGCGATCGGGTTAGTCATCTATTTATTCATGTATCTTTTTGCACTAACCTGAAATCAAAAACCAGATCGGAATTGGGAATAAATGGAGTAGTGTTCCGGTTGACTTGTCTTTTCTCTCTCGCGCGCGTGCCTGTCAGCCAATCAGGTGATAGGATAGTTTTCGTCTCTCTACTCCACTTCGAACTCACGCATATTAGTCTCAAGGTTAAGCCATTCAGCCTATCGCATCAAGGTCTTAATCTACATTGAACAAATTATCCTCGATACGAAAGTGAGTAGACAGATCAAAGACATAACAATAGGAAATTGGATTCGCTAAACAATTTTCTGATATTTTTTGATCTAGATCAATATAGTAAACACAAATTATCATCACAGTTCTCACTATAACCTATATGGTTTCGCTATGCACCCCTTCTCTACTTGTACAATCTTTTCTATAAAAAAATCAAAAGTAATAACTTGGTCATCTAGTGATATTACTCTTTCTATAAATAAATAATGAAAAATGTATAAATAATTAACAATCAATAAATGAAGGAAATTATACGTACAGAAATTTCAGAAATAAGGAGAACCTGAATCTATATTATCGGAAATTCCTGACCCTTGAAGTTTCGAAAATGAATAAAAGTAAAGGCTGTTATCATATTCAATGATAAAGAAAAAAATTTCAAGGAATCAATTTAGCTAATTGATTTGTTAATTGTGCAATATGATTAGTATACAAACTATGCTGAAATTTAACGTTGTCTTGGTTTTTTGCTGTCAAGTAATCTGATGTGTTGCTTTCAAAGTAGAAATTATATAATACGAATGTTTTTTCATATTATCTTTTTGTTTCATTGAAAAATTCTAAATATAGGAATAGTTAACAATGGAAACAATAAGAATTATCTTAATATTCTCCTTGTACACGAAAAACTGATGACAATGGTGCAGATTGATCTGTTCAATAAAAGAAATAAATATTAGGTGGGGGTTTCTGTGGAGATTTTTAGTAATTTTTATATATAGTTGAAATCATGAGTCGACTGAAATTAGACCACCATGGAAAATCTGAAAGCACTGGACGGCCGTTTTTCATGAATCCAGTCACTAGTGAGCATATGATCCGTGCTTTCAGGTTTTCCATGATGGTCTAGCTTTAATTGACTCATGAACTCAACTATATATAAAAATAAATATTATTTAGACAAATATTAATAAGAAGATTATTTCAAAGAAGTCGGTTAGAAAAATGTTAGACAAGTTGTTGTCTTCGATTCACTGTTGATTTAGCATATAAATGTCATTCTTTATTCTATGACTCTTATTTTGAAACTGATCCCTAGGACAAAAGTGTTATCATTTATATTATAAAATAAATAATCGTCCATAACAGATTTTCCATTAAAAGTTTAAATAATGGCCAACAATTAGTAGTTATATGATTAATGATAGATAATGGCTCCCAGTGGAATCCAGAATGCGCGTTTCGTCCTATACGGGACTCGTCATCTGGATGTACCTACATCACAGAGTTGATGTTCACTCTGGGATAACGTGATGGCGTTCGAAGCGAACAGTACTGTGTTTGAGTCACAGAGAGGTTTGTTTACCAGAATTCTTTCTGTACTCTAAGCAAAGATGGATAGTGGCCTGCAGTGGAATCCAGAATGCACGTTTCGTCCTATTTGGGACTTTACAGCTGGGTGTGCCTACATCTCACAGAGTTTATGTTCACTCTTGGAATCGAACTCAGTACTGTTCGCTTCAAATGGCATCGTGTTATCTACTTCGAGTCCCAGAGTGAACATTAATTCTGAGATTCAATTACATCCAGCTGACAATACTGAAATAGGACGAAACGCGCGTCCTGGATTCCACTGCTACCCACTATCCATTTCTGTTCATAAAGCTTGTGACTTCAGGCAATATCGGGGCAGTCCGCACAGGATGCATATATGCCAACAAGAGACTGATCAATCGCAGTCCAAAATAACAATGAGAAGATATCAGTAAACAACACCAATTGAATTTAATTAGTAGTTATATTTAGTTTATTAAGTTTTATAGTTTACATTCACTAGTAATGTTCAGAATCATTCTCAAAATAAATAGCCTATGTACTGTAGCTCCTTACCATATTGCCTAAAGTTTTTGAACCAGAATACTTAATTTAGTTTACACTTTTTAAAGATAAATTTCAGTTGAAACTCGTAAAGTATAATATTAAACATCGATGTATGTTCTTGCAAGTTTAATATGAATAACTTTTGATTAGGATCACAATTTACTGTTGTATGATTCAAAAGGTTCCTAGTTTCCAGTAGTTTTTCAAATGACAGTGATTCACAACGGGCAGTTACAGAAAAAATAAATTTATCTCAATAAGTCATAGTCGTGTTCACCAAGGAATAACTGAGAAATGAATTTCATGAAGTTCCAGTTTAAATCCATATCCTGTAAAAGTAACTATATGATACGAATCAATAGAACGATATATTCTTATGGCTAAAATTGTACTTACATTAGATGAGTTTTGATCTCAGTAAATTATGAAACTGCTTTTACCCAATAATGACTATTTTCAACTGAATATTATCTGAAGGGGATTTCGTGGAGATTTTAGTAATTTTATATAGTTGAAATCATGAGTCGACTGAAATTAGACCACCATGGAAAACCTGGAAGCACTGGACCGCCGTTTCGTCCTATTGTGGGACTCCTCAACGGTGGTACAAAATTTAATTTGTCAAAGAGTAGATGATAAGCAGAAGGGGTTTTGTGGAGATTTCAGTATTTTCATAGTTGAAATCATGAGTCAGTTGAATCTAGAGGAGTCCCACAATAGGACGAAATGGCCGTCCAGTGCTTCCAGGTTTTTCATGGTGGTCTAACTTCAATTGACTCATGATCTCCACTATATGAATATTACCTGTTATCCATACTACTACTAATAATTCTAGTAGTAATATTTGCAATAGTAGAAAATTTCTATTCGTTAAAGTATGCTTGTGCAAATTTGTTGAATTGTTTTTATAAAAAGTATCTATTAGGTAGAGTAGACTAATTGACAAAGAAGATATCATCATTTACAATTTGTATAAATAAAGGGGTGTTTAGATAAAGTAAAGAACAAGATAGTAGAATGAAGTGTAGAGCAAAAGTATTCAATAAAATATTATTGGAAAACATGTACAATCATGCCAGTTTCCTCATAAGCTCATGGTACAGTTCATACTTCCGTAGTTAACAGCGAGTTTTAAAATGACCTGTTAATTTTTTGGATGAAATGAAATGAACTCAGCTCAAACATTAGATTGAACCTTTGATTTCTATTTGTCACAATTAATAGGTTTCAACTATTGAGCGCAATGACTTGACATAAAGATGAGCTTCTCAGTCTTCAATGTTTAAATGAAACCATCTTTGATCTTATGGAAAATTAGTTTTAGTGAAGATTTGTTGGCTGGACTGTTTGTCAATAATGTACCCTCAAATAATGAATGGAAAGATAGATTACAATTTTACCCGCTCTTTTTATCAGGGCAGTTCGCCAATATTGCTTATTTCACTTCACAGCCTTTATTCAAAGAATACTTTTTAATTCCAGTAAATTAATCGAGACAGGAACAAATCAATGAAGATAGATATACAAGAATTCTGATAGAGTCAGTACTTGTGCATATGTGGTTAAATAAATAAACACTGAGAAAACACTATTTCAGGATTGCTCCATTTTAAGAATAGATTAAAAATGGAACGTTGGATTTATTGAATTTCAGTTAATTGACTCAATATCAAACGTCTTATTGTTAGGTAATAAAGGTATTTGTTTAAATCAACTATAGAAACAGAGTTGTGTGGATGGATCACTAAACAGTTTTCAATTTAAATTGAAAAATATATTCAACGCTTTTTAATGTGAGTTATTAAATGAAGACTGATTTACAATCATTATAAAAGTGGATTGGTTGAAGTTAGACATTAACACCGTTGGATGCCGGTCCGCTCAGTGGTCTAGAGGTTAAGTGCTCGCGCGCGAGACTGATAGGTCCTGCGTTCGAATCTCGCGAGACGGGATCGTGGATGCGCACTGCTGAGCAGTCCCACAATAGGACGAAACACCCATACATTGCTTGGAGGTTTTCCATGGTGGTCTAGCCTCAATTGATTCATGATCTCAACTATATACAATATGAGAGTGTCTTTTTTAATAATCTCAATTTTTCCAGAAAAACAAAACAAGGTTTAATCTAAAAATTACATCTAGTTTGTCATAGAGTTTTCAGTATAAACATTCACAATATGTATTTAATAAACACACTTTCAATGAGTAATACAAACATGGAAGTTAAATGGTTCTAGTATATTCAGATTGTTGATGTAATGGAAACTCATCTTGGAAAAGCATAGTTGAACAAATAATTGTAAATGACGTTATGAAAATTAATCTACATTGTGTTCTATAGGTGACATGTGTTCAAACTCGTAATTGTGTGTTCGTAGCTGCTATCCTAATGTGGTAGTTTAGCTTTCATATCATGATGTAACAGAGGAGCTAAGCTGATTAGAATCTTTATTCCATTTGGTTATACCCCATTCTAGACAGACCGGTTGAAGAACAGGAAAACTGTAAGCCACAACTTAAAGTAGGAGGTTGAAGTTGTACTACCAACTGTATATAAACGTGACGACAGTGAAGTATTTCTCTCAGGAAACCATAAGTAAAGAGTGGTTATAAGAGATTGGTACATCTCTCCTTGCTCCATGGACTACCGTTGCCAGAAGTAAAGTCTTTACAGTATCAATACATAAAGAACTACTCGAGAAAGGCAATGTGTGACTGACTTCGAGCTCTATGGTCATACTCTCAAGTTGTTAAGATCATCCCTAATCCAATTTACTTTTCAGTTACCTCAAGAAAAGGATTGCCCAAGACAGAGTTGGATGGAGAATGCTGGTGAGCGGCCTATACTCCTCGACAAGGGTTAACAGGCGTAAGTAAGTAAGTAAGCAAGAAAAATTGTTTTGCAATATGAGCAACGTGGAAGTAATAACAGCCCACATAATCCTAACAACACTCGAGATCACCTGATTGACACAAAAAGGTTTCAAAACAATTTGTGTATTGAATAAATTGAAACAATCATTCTCATCTGATATGATATAACAGTATAAGTACAGGAACAAATATGTCTCAATGAATTATAATCGTACCCTACAATAAAACAGATTAATCAATAAAATGAGTCAGAGAAATAAGAACAAAATAGGGGAAACATTCAATGTATAGACAGAAAAAAATAGAATATGAAATTCTTGAAAATAATAAATAAATACAATAGAGACTAAACAAAACGAGGGAAAAAATGAAGTTGTTGCTATGCAACATAGATTTATTTACATTTTCAAAGCAAAAATAGATTGTTTTTTTTACTGGGTTATCCTTTAACAACTCAACTACCAATGTACCTGAGTAAAAATGTTAACTTATAATCACCTTATACATAAATATATAATAAATTAATTATGAATATACTTTTGATTTTATGCATAATAAGGGATAAAAAGGAATGGAAATAAACTAAGTAAGCAAAAACTTGGTGGATTGGTTGAAGTTAGACATTAACATCGTTGGATGCCGGCCGGTTCAGTGGTCTAGAGATTAAGTGCTCTGGCGAGAGACTGGTAGGTCCTGGGTTTGAATCTCACGAGGAGGGATCGTGGGTGCACACTGCTGAGGAGTCCCATAATATGATGAAACGGCTGTGCAGTGCTTGTAGGTTTTCCATGATGGTCTAGCTTGAATTAACTTATATGATTGCTTAATTGTTTCTCTGTAGATTTGTGAATAGGGTTTATGTTGATGTGAATATTAGTTGCAGATTAATATTAGTGTCGTGCCCAGAAGTCAGTAAAACAAATAATTAAATATAGAAATATATGTATAAAAAGATAAA